TTCAACGTTTTTTCGGAGCCTCCAGGTGGCGTTCTCGTCACCACGTCATCGGGCCGGCCACGAATTTGGAATCACAACGCGCCCCGAGAAAAATTCGGGTGGCGCACGAACATGTAAATCGAGGGCGAGAGCAAATAAGGAACGGGTAAGGGGACTTGAAAGGAAACCGCCAAATTGTAAATGCCAGAGAGGATGACGCCAAGTGCCAACATATGCGAAGCTTGAAAGACCAAGGTGCGTGGCGCGAAGCGCCAACGCAGTCTTGTATATTCCTCTTCCTATATTTTTAGAAGCCCGAGCGGGGGGAAAACCCGCCCCCCCCCCCTCCCTAAAACCGGATCCCCGGGATCTGCAGCTTTGGGACCCTCCGGACGGGCCTCGAAGCGGCCCCCTGGGCCTCGCAGGGCGTTTTGCCAAGCCTACGCAGCACACCCAGGGCGATCAGGGGGGTCACCGGAGACGTCCCAGAGACCCCCAAGACAGCACAAGAGCGCTCCAAGAAGCCGTCATACCCCGAAAGATCGCTCCAAAACGTACCAAGAGGCCTCCAAGAGCACCCCCAAGAAGGCCCCAAGAGGGACAAATCATTGATTCTATGTAGGTTTTTGGTGCATTTGGGGTTCTCCTCTTTTCGGCTTCCAGACGCTCCAAGACGGCGGTCTCCTAGGCGTCCGAAGCCGCCTGGGAGGCTCCCAAATCGCCCCACAACCATCCGAAAGGGCTTCCAGGCAGTCCCAGAGAGCCCCAAAACGGCACAACAGGGGTCCAAAATGGCCCTAAGAGAGCACCATGGCGACCCAAGATGGCCCCAAGACACCCTCCGAAGCATTCCAAATCGTGACTGGGGCGTTCAGGGGGACCGCGGTTAGAGGCAGGTTGGCCTAGGAAGGCCCAGAGGCCCCCAGAACACACCCAGGAGGCCTCCAGAAGGCTTTCAGAAAGCCTGAGAACTTTGGTGAGGCCCTCAGAGGCTCTCCAAGGAGGAGCCTCCGCAAAAAGAGCTGAGGAGGATGGGGAGAATGCCCAGGGTATGGCGAGAATGATGAAAAATAAGCATGGAGGAAGGACGACGAACAACATTATTATAACGGCGATGCCAGAAAAGGCAGCAAGGAGTTATCGCTAAATTGTCGGCTTGATCTTCCTGCCATTTCCGCCTGCATACCAAACTCCAAGGACCAAGGTGCATGGCGATTTGGCATGCAGGCGGAATAGCAGGAAAGTCAAGCCGACAATTTAGCGATGACTCCTTGTTGCCTTTTCCGGCATCGCCGCTATTTTTAATGTTCTTCGTTATCCTTCCTCCATGCCTCTTTTTCCGTATTTTCGCCATACCCTGCGCATTCTCCCCATTCTCCTCAGTTTTTTTTTGCGGAGGCTCCTCCTTGGAGAGCCTCCGGGGGCCTCACAAAAATTGTTTCAAGCGTTCCTAAGGCCTTCTGGAGGCCTCCTGGGCGTATTCTGGGGGCCTCTGGGGGCTTCCTCGGGCCACCCTGCCTCCAATCGCGGTCTCCCTGAACGACCAGGTCACGATTTGGAATGCTTCGGAGGGTGTCTTGGGGCCATCTTGGGCAGCCATGGGGCTCTCTTAGGGCCATTTTGGACTCCTGTTGTGCCGTTTTGGGGCTCTCTTGGACTGCCTGGAAGCCCTTTCGGATGGTTGTGGGGCGATTTGCGAGCGGTCTCCCTGAACGACCAGGTCACGATTTGGAATGCTTCGGAGGGTGTCTTGGGGCCATCTTGGGCAGCCATGGGGCTCTCTTAGGGCCATTTTGGACTCCTGTTGTGCCGTTTTGGGGCTCTCTTGGACTGCCTGGAAGCCCTTTCGGATGGTTGTGGGGCGATTTTGGAGCCTCCCAGGCGGCTTCGGACGCCTAGGAGACCGCCGTCTTGGAGCGTCGGGAAGCCGAAAAGAGGAGAACCCCAAAATTCACAAAAAACCTACATAAGATCAATGATTTTTGCCTCTTGGGGCCTTCTTGGGAGTGCTCTTGGAGGCCTCTTTGGGGCCGTCCTGGAGGCCTCTTGGGCCATCTTGAGGTCACGTCGGTCACTCTTGGAGCGCTCTTGTGCTGTCTTGGGGGTCTCCGAGGCGTCTCCGATGACCCCCCTGATCGCCCTAGGTGTGCTGGGAAGGCTTGGCAAAACGCCCTGCGAGGCCCGGGGGGCCGCTTCGAGGCCCGTCCGGAGGGTCCCAAAGCCTCAGATCTGGGGAGTCTGGTTTTGGGGGGGGGAGACGGGTTTTCCCCCCGCCCGGGCTTGTAAAAATATAGGCAGAGGAATATGCACGTATTGGTACAGGTAGAATAGTCGGTCCTCCATAGAGGCCAGATCTTTATCCATATCCACCGGCTCGGGTTTTGAGGGAGATGAAGGGATCCCGACAATCCGAGAGGCAGTGAATATTGATATATATATATATATATATATATATATATATATATCTTGCCCGCAGGTTTCGGGGTGGAGTTTTTTTTGACTCCAGGTTTTTGGCTGTCTTTCTGGCCTCGGGGCGCTCTGCAGCGCCGCGGCTGGGTTACAGATCGGGGATTCTGGCCATGAAGGCACCTCCACAAAGGAGGTCTGGGTGGCGATTGTGAGGGGGATGACCCGTGCATCCTCTGTCCACCAGGCGAGGGATTTCCACCACCAGAAAATCATCAGAGGTTTTTTTGTCGTTGGGGTCGTTACGTCCTCCCAGAGCGGTTTCAGGGTTGTTTTATGAGGGGATCCTGGGAGGTCTGGGGGACCACAGAAAACAAAACATGAACAATCTATTGAACTGAACAATCTATTGAACTTGTTTTGAGGGGGGGGCGCCACCCAAATGACTTCCTCAGTTTTTTCTTTTTGGTGGTTCCTGGGGAGGGGGGGCGGGGGGGGGTAAAAGTCACCGCCCACCAAACCACCTCAACCCAATCCGAAGGCTTCAATTTGCCTTCCATTTCCATTGTGGGGGGGTCGAGGAACATTGAAAACACATTTGGAACCAGTACATCCCCCATTAAGAAATTCGGGCGAAATTCGGGTCTTCGGGTTGGGTTGGGGTGGTATTGTAGGTAGTCAAAAAGTCAACAAGCAAAATTTACCTTCCATCGTGATAAGGAAGGTCCCAGAGAGGTTTCTGGGGGCTCTGGAGGGACCCTGCCGAACAAATCGATTCAACCTCTTTGAGGGGTGTTCCCAGGGCGGTGGTCCTGGAGAGTCAGGGGGATTTCTACAACGGCCCACTAGAACAACCCCGCTTGAGAGGGAGTCCCGGGGGGTCCGAGGGGGTTCGGGGAAACTTTCGCCCCAACGAATACACCAAACCCCTCTTTGAGGGGGGGTCCTAGGGTGATTCCTGCGGCGTCGGGGGGAACCTCCTCGGAACGAAAACGCGAACAACCTTCCTTGAGGGGCTCGCTCGAAACGTTTCCAAATACCTACCTTGAGGGGTAGGGGGTCCCGGAGGGTTCCTGGGAGGTCGGGGGATCTCCCCAGAAACTTACCAAACATTCGGCCTGGAGGGAGGTTCCCAGGAGAGGGTCCTGGAAGGTCTGGGGGAATTATCCTAAAAATACCCCTTGAGAGGTCTTCCCAGGGGGGGGGTCCTTGGTAGTCTCGCCCGCCCCTCCCGAAAACCCATCAAAACACCCCTTGGGGCGGGTTCCCAGGAGAGGATCTGGGGTAACTCCCCCGAAAACCTAAGGATGTTCCGCCTGGGGGAGCTGCGGGAGAATCCCTCCGATAAATCCCCCAAACCTCCTTGAGGGCGATTCCTGGGGGGTTCCCGGGGCGTCTAGGGGAACGCTACTAAAACAAAAAAACCATTGGGTTTTGTTGAGTGGGTCCCAGGAGGTCTCTGACGAATTGCAAGTTTGAGGGGTTTCAACGGAACCTCTTGGGATTAGTGAAGATTTTTTGATGAGCGAACGAACGGGTGGGGTTGGTGGTCTATTGACAGGTTTTTCTTCGGGGGGGGGGGGTAAGGTGTTTTTTGGTAGGGGGTTTCGATCATCATTGTTTTGCTTTTGAGTCTGGCGCCCGGGAGCCCTACCGAAAACCCTCCCTCCGCCCCCCCCCCCTCGAGAGGCCTGGCGACCCCGGCCCCTCCCCCTCAACAGCCGCCCTGGAGCCTGTCTGTCTTCAGATTCAGGCAAGTTAACTTGCGTGGCGTTCGCCCCCCCCCACCCCCCCACATCGAATACGAGCGTGCTGCAAGTGCCACTCGACTTGCGTGATTTCCGCACGTCAAGTCGTTTGCGGCCTGCCTCAGGTTCAGCCCCCCCCTCCCCCCGTCCATGCAGGTAAACTCGTCAGAGTCGAAAGACAAACAGGCCCCCGAAGGGGCATTCTTGGGGTGGTGGGTGGCTTCCCGGAGGGCGTCCGGGGCCGGTCTCCGGAGCAGCGCCGGCGGGGGCGAACGACCCCCGGAGCTCGAGCAGCGCCTGCGTTCCAGGGACGCGATCTTCCTCGAGCCGTCGCTGAGCTCCAGCACCCCCGCTGAGCTCAGCATCGTCCAGCCTGCCCCCCGAGCCATGGTGTCTGAGCCCCACCAGCCCCCACAAGTGGGGATATGTCCCGCGAGGCCCGAAGGAACGTGCACACACACACACGCACACCCGCCCAAGTGGGCAAGTCGGCCAGCGGGGCCGAGCCCACGCCAGTGGGCATACGGATCGGTCAGGCGATGCTCATGAGCCTCGGGTGGCCTTAAGTCGGGCATGTCCCTCTACGGGAGGAATGTTCAAACATAGTAAAAGACAGCCTGGGGACGATGTTTTCACTATGTTTGGCCATTTTTGCATATTTGTTTGAATTTTTTTTTTTTTGTTCCCCTCCAACATCCACCTGTAGGAGGACATGCCCGACCTGAGGGTAGCCCCTGGAGTAGCTCAACCAGCCCAGGAGCTCGACCAGCCCCCCTGCTGCTCCCGCAGGCGGGGTCGGCCCCCCCTGCGCGCGCTCCCTCCGCGCGCGCGCGCCCGTGCCGCGCCCCCCTCCCGCGCAGCCCGGCGGCAGGACTTCGAGAAGCAGAAGAGCCAGGACAGCGACCAGCAGGACCGCATCATCAAGGAGAAGGACCTGGCCCTCAAGCAGCACCAGGAGAGCCGGCGGAGGGGAGGAGGACTCGGATCGGGGGCCCACGATAGACGGGGGGCCCGATGCGAACGGGGGTCAGCCAGAGCGCCGGATCCGGCAGGATCCTGCAGGGCCAGGGGCGCACTGACCTGGGTTTGGGTGCAGGATCCAGCAGGATCCAGCAGGATCCTGCAGGGCCAGGGGCGCACTGACCCGGGCTTGGGTGCAGGATCCTGCAGGATCCTGCAGGGCCAGGGTCGCACTGACGCGGGCCGGGCTTGGGTGCAGGAGCCTGCAGGATCCTTCAGGAGCCCACTGACCGTGGTCTGGGTGGACGATCGGAGGCCAGCAGTCGTGCGCAATCACCGGCCTTGGCCGAGGTCTGTGCCGGGCCTTGATCGGGGGAGCGTAAGACCCGGGTTTGCCAGGACTCGGGTTCGCCATCGTTTTTTGACGACCGCGCCTCGGATTTTGACGAGGAGGAGTTTCGTGGGATGTCTGCAGCAGGAGGCCTGGTCAAAATGCAGGCTCGGACTCGTCATTTTTTTGACGACCTCGTCGGGGATTTCCGAGTCCCCTGTACCCAGGTCTTACGTCCCCCTGACTTGAGAGGGCCAGCGCTGCCCAGGGGCCACGGGTCCGCGGACGACCCGTGTGCACCGCGCCGCGCTGGCCTCCCCGCCGAGGACCGACGTCGGTCTTCGGCCCGGGAATGGCACGACGTTTTTTTTTTTTTTTTTTTTTTGTTCTCGGCTCTCCGGGCCGAAGCATTGCGCACCGCACCGCGCTGGAGCGGGGCCCGGAGGGAGTCCGAAGGTGCTGCGGGGCGTGGGCGCCGTTCTTGTGCAGTCGGAGCTGGGCCAGGAGAACATGCGTCGAGGACATGAGGCCCTCCGTCGCCCAGAGCGCACGGAGCATCCAGGGGTAGCTGCCCTCCCCAGGATGCACACGAAGCGTCCAACAGGCACGCAGGACACTATAGGGTGCCCTCCCCGGGCCAACCTCGATCTCATACCTCGGTCCGACTGCAACGGGGGGGAGTTCAGTCCACACAGGCATAATTACTACGTCCCTCGGCATCGCTCGGACGTGTGCATGTTTCCTTCGGCGAGGACCATCGAGGAGCATCCTTGATCATTTGGCGAAAGAGCCACGCACGAAACCGAACAAGAACACACACGGAAGGGGCGTCCGAGCGCTGGCGAGGTCCCAGGCAGGGCCAGGGAGGGGCCTGGCCAGGGCCGGCCGCGGCGTGTCCTGGTGCCGGCTTGTCCGAAGAGGGTCCACCGCTCGCGGGCCCCAGGGGGCCCGAGCCCGGGGAGGCCGGGGAGGCGACGGGGAAGCGGAGGGCGCGCGAGGGGGGATCGAGGCGAGCCTGTTGCGAGCATCCGGGGTCCTGGCCCCCTCCCCCCAGACCCCCTCGAGCATGGAACAAACACAACCGAAGGTTTGTCGCCAGTTTCTACCTCTGGGGGCCCTTCCTGGGCTTCCGGGCCATCCAAGAGCGGCTCAGGATGAAGAACCGGTCCCAGGGAATAGGTCGAACTCTTTGGGGGTCGACGTCATGAACAAAATCATGACGTCGGGGCTCTGGGAGGCGAGCCGTTGCGAGCATCCGGGGTCCTGGCCCCCTCTCCTCGCCAGACCTTCTCCGCCCAAGAAGCTCCACTTTCTGCTCCCGGGTTAAGTCGGGCCTGTCCCCCTACAGGGGGATTTTCGACGAAAAATAAAAAACACCCCAACAAAACGACAATTTTCACATACTGTACATCCTGTTCCCACTTACTCCGTCCTGACCATACTTGGCATTCTCTCTCGTGTTCTGCTTATCTCGCTTGAGTGGAAGGGAACCATGCCAGAGGAACGTCATATCGGCACTCCAGAAAAGAAAGTGGCGCGTCTCACAGGGCCGAGTGGCAGTCCACTCCAGGAGCTGGACGGCATGGACGACGAGGACGGCCCAGGGGAGATGCAGCAACAATTCGAGCAGAACCTCGGAGAGGTAGCGGACTCTGGAACCGCCCTGACCGTCGGCCTATTTAAGCAGATCCTGAACGAAAAGCTCAAGCCCATCGAGAAGGATATCAACGCGATCAAAAAACATGGAGTATCCCATCAAGATCTCCATAACGCCGTCCAGCCGCTCAAGGCGGCGGTGGACGATATCACATCCAGGGTATCGACATTAGAAGTTTCCACGCCCAAAACAATGTCGGCCAGATCTGGGTCAGAAGCCTCCCTGGGGACGGTCCTGGAAGCGAAACTCCAGGATATGGAAAACAAGATCAATGATCTCACGGGGAAGGGGCGAACGCCAGACGGAACGATTGCAGTGCTTGGTGGAATGGATGGTTTTGCCGATTTGGCAGCAGCTTCAGACTTCCTCAATACGCGCATTGCCAATATCAACGTCCCGCCGCCGGCCGACATCTTCATCAAAGGTGAGTCGTTCAACGGCCTCTTGTTTGCTAAGTTTGGCAGCCCTACATCCGTGGATACTTTGGTGAAGCATTTCCGCCAGAACAGTATTTCTCACAATGGTCAGAAAATCTGGGCGAACCGGGATATGCCAATTACTCAGCGTGTGCCTCTCCGTTTTCTCTTCGGCTTCAAACGTCTACTGACGGAGTGGGGCTTCAGGAAGCAAGCGGTCCAGATCGACGACGAGGCCCTGACGATGCACGTTGCGGGGGAGCACATCATCACAGTCTCCGTTAACAGCGGCACTATGCACCAGACGTGGGCGAAAACGGAATGGGAGCAGTGGAGCGCATTTCACAACGATTCCGAGTTCAAGCAGCTTGGTGCTTCTTGCCAGGAAATCCTCGGCCGCGTCGCGGACAAGGGCAAAGGGAAAAGCAAGTGATGGTGCCCGGGGGGCGAGGACACAGTTTCACCCAATCGTTTTTCAGCATCTCCTTCTGGCCCGCGCCCTCGTCCAGTCACTCGTGCGCAAAATGGGCACGTCACAGTGGCTACGTGGAATGTAACCGGCCTGACAGACGAGAAGCTCCACACAATTTGCGAAGCAATGCGTGTTGAGAGGATCGATTTTCTTTGCCTCCAGTAGACGTGGGCTCCTAAAGCAGAGTGCTACACATACAATGATTATCGCATTATTTTGTCGGGCTCCGAGAGGTCCGGCGATGAAAACGCACCAAGAGCAGGAGTGGGATTTATAGTTGCGCCGCACGTGTCGTCATGCATATGTGGCTTCTTGCAGTACTCAGACCGGCTTGCCTGCCTCAAAATCCGCGGGGGCAGAGGCAAACATGCGCTGTCCACCGGTTATGCTCCACACAACCTTCGACCATTACCAGAAAGGCTACAGTTTTATTTGGATTTGGGAAAGCTGCTTAAATATGTATCTGTGAATGGAGCAAATTATATCTTGGGGGATTGCAATGCCCGGCTTGGCCAGCGCCGACGGGGAGAAGAACACGCCATAAGACCGCACACCTTCGGCGAAGAGGCAAAGCACAGAGTCGAATGCCCCAACCGGGACCTGCTGATGAAGTTCTGCACGGTGCAGGAATACATTATCAGTAGTACTTTCCAAGACGTTTCTGCTGCACGACTTGTTACATACATGGAAGGGGGCACGAAACCGATGGACGAAGTCGTGCCTCAAAAGTTCGCTCTGCTTGATTTGCTTCTGGTGCCAAACACGAGCGTCACAGATGTGATCTCGGTCGCAAACCGGCGTGAGGTGGCTTTGGCAACCCGGCATTTCTTGGTATGTTGCGAGCTCGACATGGACATCGAAGAACTGCCCCGCTGCCAACGACCTGCGGGGAAACAGTTTCGAAGCTTTCAGGATCCTGGAGTACGACAGCAGTTCGTTTCCACTTTTCTGGAGAACATGAATCAGGATTTCGACGTCGCGGATGTGGTGGAAGATACCTGGAGGGACATCTCTGCCGCGATCCACGTCGCAGCCGCGGGACTACCTGACGAGGCGCCCCGACCCAGACGACCTTGGATAAGTGACCGGACAGTGCAGCTTATCCACCAAAGGTCGCAGGCGAGACACGACGGAGACGCCGGACGCGAGAACGAAATGCACAAAGCCGTGAGGGAATCTGCAAGGCAAGACAAGACCAAATGGTTGGAATACTCAGTGGCGACAGGATTGTGGAACGACATCCGGAATTTCCGCAAACCCCGGCTAGCTAAGCAAGGAAAATTGCGAAATCTGGATGGGGATTTGGTGAGCAGCGAGGCACGGGCGGACACAATGGCAACATACTTGGAAAAGGTGCAATGGGGAGTCAGGCAAGCCGATATCATCGACACGCCGGCGCTCGGAGACACGCTGCCGGTCAAGCTTTCCAAGTTCACGGAAGACGAGGTCAAGAATTGCTTGCGGCATTTGCAATCAGGCAAGGCGCCGGGGCCAGACGGCGCCCCGCCAGAATACTGGAAGGTACTTGCGGACAGTTCTGGCGCTCTCCAACAAATCACAGATTTTGTCAACTTATTGCTGGCAGAGTCGACGGGTCCCGCAAGAACGGCACAAAGCAAGGGTTACGACCATCCACAAGAAGGGCAAGACCGACGATTGCAGCAACTATCGTCCAACCAGCCTCCTCGTGATTGGGTACAAAGTCTTTGCGTCTCTGCTGCACCGGCGCTTGGTGGGCGGCGGCGCAGAGGCAAGGCTAACATAATCTCAATTTGGGTTCAGATCCAAGCACGGGATCCAAGAGGCCATTTTTGCATTGCGTAGACGAATTGACCTGGAGTTGGGAGGATCCGTCGGAAACTTGTATGCGCTGGCCCTTGATTGGAAAAATGCTTTCGATTCAATCGATCCTTCTGCCGTGATTTGCGGATTACGTAGCTTCGGCCTGCCAGAGCATGTCTTGGACGTCATGCGTTCTATTTATACGGGCCGGTGCTTTGAGGTGCGGGACTGCGGTGCGACGTCTTCCTCGAGGCCGCAGGCGTCAGGGATATCGAGAGGTTGCCCGCTGCCACCGTTCTTGTTTGTAATGACGATGACAGTTATCATCGAGCAAGCG